CACCACCACCACCACCACCACCACCACCACCACCACCACCACCACCAAAAAGTCTGATGGCAGAGAACCAGAGGTTTCACGGGTGGGCGGCCAAATAAACTGCACCAGCTGTGCTGACGTCAGCAGAGGGCGGACTGCCACACAGCTTCTCAATGGCAGCTTCTAGTTCCGGACTCACCTTCCAGTTGAGGTTCTTATCGCTCATGAGCTGCTGGAAACACAGCAGAACCTGCTCCTGGAAAGTCCCAGTCTCATATCGCTCAAGACCAAACTCCCCCCTCGAGGCAGCGTCCAGCAATTGTAACTGAAGGAACAGGATCAGGTCAGGTTTGGGAAGGCCCACGTCTGGTTGTTTGCACCAATCCAGAGAAAAATTCTGCCAACAGAAAACCCTATGGTTAGAGAAAGCAAACTGAGTGGGGTATAGACTTTTGCTTCAAAGTGGGGGTGGGAGATGCTGGTACCAGAGCTCTGTGTTCTGCAGTCTGCCTACTATGGACCTTGTCTCAGAAAATAAGGCATGGCATATGTAGATATCTCGTGGTCCATTCAGCCTCAGAAAGTCCACAATGAGAAGCAGTTTGTTCCAGACAGGAAAAGGTTTTGCCATAATCTTGCATCCCACTAAACACCGGAGGAAACTAGCAATCCTGGAGACCCTCTTCACGCCTGCCTACTAATTGTTTACATACATCTTCCCACTTCATCAACTTGCTAAAAATGTCCTCATTTTCAGAAGAAAAGTAGGGCTAGAGAGGACACCCTATCCTCCAGAAAACATAAGCTCAAAAAGTAACCCGAGGCCCTCTCTACAGGGCCACAGTGTGTGGACCATCTATCTGTCCTAGCTTCCTTATACAAACAAAACACTCCATTGGCAAATCACTATATTGGGGGGGGGGGAACAGAATTTAAAAGATTATCACTTGGCAATCTGTCATCCCCAAGGGTTATATAAAGATATTACCAGACACCATCTGATTCTTGCCTAAGATCCAGCATTCTTGAATTTACAAAAGTACAAGTTAAAAACATTAAGCTAGGTGTGATAGCACTTGCAAAGTGGTAAGACAGTTCAAGTTTATCCTTGGCTACATAGTTCCAGGTTGAGCCCCAGGAGACCTTGTCTCAAAATCAAAACACATGCAATTCCAACACTTGGAAGGTACAAGCAGCTCAGTGTTATCATTGGCCATATAGTGTTCAAGGTCAGCCAGAGACAGTCTCGCGGAAGAACAAAACAGGGCAGTAGTGGCACATGCCTTTAATCCCCAAAGTCAAGAGGCAAAGGCAGATGAATCTGAGTTCAAGACCACCCTGGTCTAAATAGCAAGTTCCAGGACAGCCACAGCTATACAGAAAAACCCTGACTCCAAAAAACTAAAGAAAAAACGATTTGTGTGAGATGGGCAAGCACATGCTTTACCAGAGTTCCTTTCCTACATGGAGAGTTGGCTAGCTGTTAAGAGCATTTGCTGTTCTTCTAAAGGACCCATATTCAGTTCTCAGTACCCACATGGTGGCTAACAATTCCTGTGCCTCCTTCTCAAGGTATCTGACACATGCAGACGAAGCACTTATACACATGAAAATAAAGTGAATACATTTTTTTAAAAAAAAAATCAAGAGTTATACTCTCAGTACTCAGAATACTTTAAATGTGAGTCCCAGAAAGAGATGTGAGAACTTAGACATCAAGACATTTAAAGGACCAGAGAGGTAACTTGGAGTTCAAGCACTTGCCTGTCACATATAAAGCCCTTGGTCCAATTCTCAGCAGAAAAATAAAACAACTTGGGACAGTGAGATGGTTCAGCTGGTAAAGGAACTTAGCACACAAGCCTGATACTGGAGTTAAATCCCCAGAACTCATCAGCAGAGAACCAATCCTCCAATGTGGTCCTGTGGCCTCTACATGCATGCCATGGCACACACATATCCTGGCCTCCATCTGACACACAATTATAATAAATAACAATTAACAAGGTTTATAAGGCACTTCAACACATGGACCTTAGTCAGATTCTCATTTAATACAATAAAAATACAAGGCAATCAGCCAGCTCTTGAGGGCTGGAAAATATGACCGGTGACTATGTGTTTAACAACAATGTGTTTCGAAGACACTGTTCTTACAAGTGTCTTTCTTGGGCCAGAGTAGTGCCTCTTTCCTGTAATCCTAGCACTCAGGGCTGACACAAGAGGATTACAAATTTGAGGCCAACCTCCAATCTACCTGGTGAGTTCCCAAAATGCCTGAGCTACTAGAAACACTGTCTCAGGCATTTTGGGAACAACTCCAGGTGCTGGAAAACAGGGCTCAGGAGTTAAGAGCACTGGCTGCTCTTCCAGGGGACTTGGATTCAATTCCCAGAACCAACATGGTACCCCATAATGCTTTGTTAATGTCAGTTCTGGGGGATTGAATACCCTCTTCTGGTCTCCATGAGCACCAAACATACATGAAAACAAAACACCCATATAAAAATTTTTTACATAATATTTTTATTGATTACTTGGGAATTTCACATCATGAACCCCCAATCACACTCACCTACCAGTCTTCCCAAGTTCCTCTCCTTTGTAACCCCCCCACGACCAAAAACAAACAAACAAACAAACCCAAGTTCAATTTGTATTGCCCATATACTCACTGGAATATAGTCAAATTCCCAGTGGCTAGGGAGAAAAATTAGTCCCTCCCACATGTAACCCCTTTGGGTAGAAACCCTCAATTGTGGAGAGCTACACTCAGCATCCTTATAGATAAAATAATTTTAAAAACTCAATCACTCGCCAAGCAGGGGTGCACACCTTTAGTCCCAGCATCTGGGAGAAGCAGGCAGGGTTCTGAGATGGAGGCCAGCCTGGTCTTCAGAGAAACACTGTGTCAGAAAACAAAACAAAACAAAACAAACCAGACAATGCCATCTGATATAGAACAGAGGATGTGAGTGTCCCTGAGGCTGATGATACTTCTGGGAGGTTTTCTGTTACCAAATATTTGCAGCTTAAAAACTAAAAAGCATTGTCAGATATGATGGTGCAGGCCTTTAATTCTAGCACTCATGAGGCCCAGGCAGCATCAGAGGCAGGGGTAGGTAGATCACTATGATTCTAGTGAGTCTGGTCTACACACTAAGTTCCAGGTCAGCCAAGGATACATAGTACAACCTTGTCTTAAAGAAGCATGTATGGCTGGAGAGATGGCTCAGTGGTTAAGAGCACTGACTGCACTTCCAGAGGTCCTGAGTTCAAATCCCAGCAACCACATGGTGGCTCACAACCATCTGTAATGAGATCTGATGCCCTCTTCTGGTGTGTCTGAAGACAGCTACAGTGTATTCATATATAATAAATAAATAAATCTTTAAAAAAAAAAAGCATGTAAATGGCAGACATTTTTCTTTTTCTTTCTTTTTTCTTTTTTTTTTTTTTGGTTTTTCGAGACAGGGTTTCTCTGTGTAGTTCTGGCTGTCCTGGAACTCACTCTGTAGACCTGGCTGGCCTCGAACTCAGAAATCCGCCTGTCTTTGCCTCCCAAATGCTGGCATTAAAGGTGTGCGCCACCACCACCCAGCTGACATTTTTCAAAAAATAAATAAGGGCCCCTTACACATATGAAGCAGTGTAGAGGGACTAGAGGGGAGCCTCCAGTGTCCTAGTCATTCTATGTCAGGCCACAAAGTGAGACAGTGCAGGAAAATCTTAATGAGGAACCTCCTTGTGAAATAAATCATTCAAATGGAATATATAGTGCTGTATCTGAAAAGCACTATGCATGCCTGTCTCTTTATTGATAAAAGACAACTGAATCTCACAGAGTTAAAGAATGCCAGAGCCATCCAATTCTCAAGAGTAACTTCAACACACAGTCTGTGGCAGGGACCCTGCAAATGAAGAAAAGCAGACCAGGGCCCACACCTGGCACCCTGAAATAGGATGCCACACAGTACTCACCTCCTTGGCACCAGTGAAGGCAACCCCAGAAAAGGCGTATCTGTCCAAAACAAGGGTCACACCCTGGTTCAACTTCGCCTTAATTAATGGCCTGAAAAACAGAATGTTCCTGAGCCCTGGAACTGGCTTACTAATGATCCCAAATTGGAGATGCCATACAGTGACAACTACAGAAGCCATATATAAACTTATCAACAACCTGATAACTCTACCCTGCCCTGCTGAGGGAAGAGAGAACCCAGGCAAAGAGCAAAGGATGACAGAGGGCATGGGGGAGCCAGAAGATGAGACGGATACTTGTGCCCCCAAGTATAATAGACAAAATATCAAGGATGTTTTCCACCAAACAACACAGGCTCACCATCATGACCAGTGTACAAAATCTTAGCTGTGTAAAAGTGAAGGGCTTGGGCATGAACAAAGCATCACTGAGCCCACAGAAGGAAGTCAGATTCTTCTCACTTAGCATGCCTCACAGGAGGCATTTGATTCTGGGGAATGGGGGAAGAAGGTTGAAATAGGTCCCACTATGTAGCCCAGGCTGTCCCAGAAACTGTGTGTACAGCCCAGGTTGGCCTCCACCTCTTGATCTTTAGGCATGATGGCACAAACCTGAAATCCCAGCATCTGGGGGGCTAAAGCAGAGAATTCCACATTGCAAGCCAATCTAAACTATGTATATACACACAGCTAGACCTTTAACAGTCTTATTTATCTCTGGCTGTCCTGGAACTCACTCTGTAGACCAGGCTGGCCTCGAACTCAGAAATCCACCTGTCTCTGTCTCCCAAGTGCTGGGATTAAAGGCGTGTGCCACCACCGCCTGGCAACAATTTTTTAATATATGCTGCTAAGAGTCAGCAATGTGAAAACAGAAAAGAATCTAAACTCAGATCTTACAGCCTTCACAAAATCAAAACTGACCCCAGACCTAAATGGCTAGAGAAATTCTTTAAAGGAAAGTGAGCATGAAAGAGAAGCTGGATACCCTTGGGTTTGATCACACCAACAGTCAAAGCCATTCAAAGATGATGGGCTAACTTCAGGAAAATGAAGAAGCTGTGCTGTGCAGAGACATGCTACAGAACGGGAGACAGAATGCATGAGGGGCATACCGGACAAAGGATGGACATACAAAGTATATGCTCTGAAAATGCAACAACAAAAGGACAACACACCAGCCAGCTTAGCCGGGTGGTGGTGGCACACGCCTTTAATCCCAGCACTCGGGAGGCAGAGGCAGGTGGATCTCTGTGAGTTCAAGGCCAGATGGGTCTACAGAGTGAGTCTATAGGACAGCCAAGGCTACGCCAAGAAACTCCACCTAAAAAAAAAAAAAAAAAAAGAAAGAAAAGAAAATGAAAAAAGGTAGTACTTAGAAGGCTGAGACAGAAGGGTTACCAATTACTGAGAGGATACCCTGAGCTACAGAGGGAATGAAGTATCTTAAAAACAAAGACAAAAACAAACGGTTGGGGACTGGAGATGTGGCTCTATGAATAACCTGTTTGCCACATAACAAGAAGACTAGAGTTTGGATCCCTGGTACTCCAGAACCCAGATATAAACCAGTAGGGAGACAGAAACTCGGGGAGACAGGCAGGACCCAGAAGTACAAAGGCCAATGTAGCCCAAAATTAGTGAGCTTGAGGTTCAGTAAGAAACCTTATCTCAGCCAGGCATGAGGCCAGCCTGGTCTACAAGGCAAGTTCCAGGGCACTCAGGGCTACAGAGAAACCCTGTCTCAATAAAACCCTTTATAAAAAAACAAAACTTGCCTCAGCAGTTAAAGCACTTGCTGCTCTTGCCAAGGACCCAGGTTTGGTTCCCAGAACTCACAAGACAGCTTACACTTCTCTGTAACTCTAGTTACAGGGATCTGGCTTCCTTGGGCAGCGGGTATGCATGAGGGGTACATGCAGGCATTTATGCTACACAAAAATAAATATTTAAAAAAAAAAACCTGTCTCAAATACAGTGGAGAACGGTAGAGGAAGACTCCCAAGTTGGTCTCTGTCTCCATGTGTGAGTACATATGTATGTTCGCATACACACCACACACAAAAGCCTGCAAGTTCCAAGGGGGAGCAATGAACCAGTCTTTACACTTGTTCCCAGCGGTTTGCAGAGAAAAGCAGGTGCACGGAGTGATCCTCTAATTCGGTTTTCTTTTCTAAGTAGGAACTCAGGAGCTTGCCGATTTCTGTTGATCTTTCTAGGAAGACAAAGATACAAACACGACTGAAGTCAGACTCTTCACCTGAAGTATAATAGTTTTCACTGAAATTTTCTCCCTGTACTCACGGCTAACTCTGAGCGTTATTAAACCTCTAGACAGGCTTTGGACCATCTCTGAAGCCAAAGGAGTTTCCCCGAGAGAAGGAAGTAAGAGAAGGAAGTAATGTGTATGTAAGTCTTGATTTCAAAAATACTTGTAAGACTTTTGGTTGGTTTGAAAATTAAAATATCCAGAAAAGCGTTGTTCCAATTCCCAACCTATTTAATTTGTAGTATTAGGGGTTAGTGTCCAGTGCATAGGGCTCAAGGCCAGAAGTCAACCTCATGTTCCCTTTTCAGTACTTGTCCACCTTGTGTTTTCAGAGAGGGTCTTCCACTGGGAACAAAGCTCACAGTTTTGGCTGGACTGGCTGGCCAACAAGTCCCAGGAACAAACCCGTCTCACCCCTCCAGCGCTGGGATTAGCACCATACCTAGTTTTTTACTTGGGGGACTAAACTCGGGCCCTCATTTCAGCCTGCATTTTACCAACTGAGCCATCTCCACCAGTCCGGCTCTCTCACATCAATGACCAATCAAGAAAATGTCTCCCAGACTTGTCTGCTGACTAGTCAATCTGGTGGGGCCAGTTTTCTCAATTGAGAGTCCCTCTTCCCAAGTGACTGTAGGCTTGTGTCAAGGTGACATAAACTAGCCAGCACATGCATAAATATATACATAAATAAATAAGTGTTCTAAAAGCTTTTAAAGATACAAAGCCTAAAGCCCAAAGAGAGAGTGAGGAAATTCTCAAGGCCCGCCCGCGCACCGGGGAAACGCAGCAGCTCGGCTCTGTGGCCCGAGGCGCACAGCGCAGTCACCAGTCTGAGGCCCTGCGTGGTCTTGCCAGCACGATCCACACCCTCCAGCACGATGAGCGCCCCCCGACGCGACGCCATCGCGACTGACAGCCCGCACAGCACCAGCCAACCTGTCAGGTTCCCGCCAATACTAAGCCGCAGAAGGCAAGCGCGCGCGGGTGCTCTGCCCGCACCGCCTTTTCCGGCTGTAAGTCGAGTTCTGTAGCCTGCGGGGAACCGCTTCCGGATGTGACGTAATCTAGGCCCGAGCCCGCTGTCTAGCGAGAGCTCACTCGCGGAACTTCCGTTTGCAGCTCCCAGAAATGACCAATCTTACCAACTGGGGTTGGACAGGCCCTGGTCACGTGGAAGCTCTAGAACAGTAACGGTATTTTCATGCTCCTAAGCGCGCTACTGCAGGGTTCTAAAAGTTTCTTATCACTCCTCCCTCTCCTCCCTCTCTCCTCTCTCCTCTCTCCCTCTCTCTCTCCCCTCTCCCGTTCCCTCCCCCCCCGCTCCAGCAC